CCCGCCCCACTCCGCCCCGCCGCCGGCGGTTCCCTCCCTCCCGGGCCGGGCCGTAGAGATCCAGGGGCCCGCCCCAGCGGCGGCGGAGAGACTCCTGTTCTCCCCGGTACCTCCGGTCCCCGTGGCGGGGGCGGCCCGCGACGGACCACATCTCCCAGAAGGCGCCGCGGCCGAGGCCCCCATGACCGCCCAGGCGCCGCCTGTGTGCGCGCGGGGCAGGCGGCAGCGCGGGCAGCCCGCGGGGTCCTGAGCGGGCAGCATGGACGACGAGGAGGAGACGTACCGGCTGTGGAAGATCCGCAAGACCATCATGCAGGTCCGGGGGGCGGCGGGAGCCGAGGGGGCGGGACGGGCCGGGGACGGGGCCGGCGCGGGGGCGGCGGCAGAGCCCTGAGCCCGGCGCTGCTCCCGCAGCTCTGCCACGACCGCGGGTACCTGGTGACCCAGGACGAGCTGGACCAGACGCTGGAGGAGTTCAAGGCGCAGTTCGGGGACAAGCCCAGCGAGGGTCGCCCCCGCCGCACCGACCTGACCGTGCTGGTGGCTCACAACGACGACCCCACCGACCAGATGTTCGTCTTCTTCCCCGGTGAGCGGCGCGGCCCGGGCGGGGCCCTGGCGGAGCCCCTCGCGGGGAGGGGTTTGGGGCTCTCGGTGACCCCGGGTGTGGCTCCTTCCGCAGAGGAGCCCAAGGTGGGGATCAAGACGATCAAGATGTACTGCCAGCGCATGCAGGAGGAGAACATCACCCGGGCCCTGATCGTGGTGCAGCAGGGAATGACCCCCTCGGCCAAGCAGGTGCGTGGGGACGGGGCCATGTCCCACTCGGGGCGTTCTGGTGGGCGCTGGAGGCTTTCCCTGTCTCAGCACTGGTTTAGGTGAATAAAAGCCCAGCATTCCCTTACAGAGAAAGGCTTTCACTAGACCCTGTTGTGCTTTGGCACAGGCTCTTCCTCAGCCTCAAAGTGTCTTTACCCAGAGCAGCTGGTCCTGGTGGCAGCAGCACAGCCGAGGGCCCATGAGCAGCTGAGAAGTGGGGGAAGGAAAAGGGGGTATTTTCCAGGGGCCAGGAGATCCATGTGCTCATTCCTAGCCTGGCTGTGTCCATGTGAGCACAGGCTGACCCCAGGTGTGGCTCTGGGCACTGCCAGGGCTGTCCCAGCTGCCTCTGACTGGCCTTTCCCTTCCAGTCCCTGGTGGACATGGCTCCCAAATACATCCTGGAGCAGTTCCTGCAGCAGGAGCTTCTGATCAACATCACTGAGCACGAGGTGAGTGGGTGGGGGTTTGTCTCCAGCCCTGTGAGGGGCTGGTCCCTGTCCCTGGCTCATCTCAGCCTCTCCCGTGTTTGCAGCTGGTCCCGGAGCACGTTGTCATGACCAAGGAGGAGGTGACAGAGCTACTGGCTCGATAGTATCCTTTGATGGCCCTTTGATGGCCCTCTGGTTCCCTGTGCATGTCCCTCCCTCCTGGTCAGGTGTGATGAAACTTCAGGCTGAACCCCCCATTCCTGCCACGGTTCTTTTCTGTTCCATGAGCGTATCCAGAGCTCCTCCTTGACTCCCAGCACAGCAAACTGAGGGAGAACCAGCTGCCCAGGATCCAGGCTGGGGACCCCGTGGCCCGGTACTTTGGGATAAAGCGTGGCCAGGTGAGAGGAACAGGCTGGGGCAGCAGCTCCCTGTGCCAGGGAGAGGATGGTCCTCGGTGGTGTTTCAGAGCTCTGGGAGCAGGGAGGGGTGTCCCTGTCCTGAGCTCTGGGGGCCCTGCAGGTGGTGAAGATCATCAGGCCCAGCGAGACAGCAGGACGGTACATCACCTACAGGCTGGTGCAGTGACCCCAGCGTGGGTAAGGCCCAGGGAACCCCAGGGCTGGGGGGGCTCTGGGCAGTGCTGGGGGCTGGACGGGGTATTCCAGGGTTGGTGTGAGGCAGCTGCTTCCAAGGAAATGTCTCAGAGCTTTGAGTGGCTTGTGGAGGGAGCTGTTAGGGCAGAGCAGAGCGAGGCTCCCCTGCCACCTGCTCACAGAATCACAAGGTTGTGAGCTGGAAGGGACCTACAAGGGTCGTGGAGTCCAGCTCTTAGGTGAATGGGCCATACAGGGATCAAACCCACAGCTGTGGCATTATTAGCACCGTGCTCTGAGCCCTTGAGCTCATCTCGGGGTCCTGCGCCCTCTGTGTGCTCTGCAGTGGGTGGGCTTGGCTGAGGGGGGAGGTCATTCACATCCCCAGTTCTCTCTCTTCAGGGTGTGAGGAGTTGTGTGACACCTCCCAGTCTCCCCTCCCACCAGCAGTTTACAGGCACTCGGAGCTTCCTGCCCTTCCAGAGATGGCCAAGGAAATCCTCTTCCCCTGCTGCCTCTCTGCAGTCCTGGCACTGGGCCTCCCTCCCCATTTTCCAGCTTGGACTTTGCTGTAACCCCTCAGTCCCATCCAGGACTCAGCCGTGGAGTCCTGAAGTGAGGGGGAAAGGCCTTTTCTTCCCTGTTTTATGGGCTGTGGTTTGTAATAAAGGTTTGTACCCTCAGTGCTCTGGTGTTGCTCAGCATCTCCCTGGGGCAAGGCCTTGAGACCCGTATTTTTCATTATGTTTGGATTCTCTTCCTGCTGAGACTCTGCATCGTGGCTGAGCCCTGCAAGAGCTCTCACCTGCTGCCCTGGGCCCTTTGGATGCTGCAGTTCAGACTTAGCTTGTTCCTTCCCTGATCTCCTGCCCTCTGGCCCTGGTTTGGGACCTTGGTGTTTGGATCCCACAATGGAGAGTTGCTCATCACCCCCAGTCATGCTCGTTTTAATCCATCCCAGGTCTCTGAGGGGTTTTAAACATCAGTTTTCCTGCCAGAACACTTGTGTTTGCAGTGCTTGGCCTCCCACAGCCAGGGGAGTCTGGAAGACTCTGATCTCCAGGACAAACACGGGTTGGAACACACGGATTTTATTCGTTTTTTGGAAGCATGTCCATGTGACCACAGCGAGGACGTGACAGTGCCGAGCAGCAGCAGGACAGACACCGAGGGGACACAGCCAGGAGGGAGCTGTGGCCCTGGGAAGCTCAAGCGCAGCCTTCGCCCTTCCCTCACTCACACCCACCCTCATCATCCTCACCCACCCTCACACACACACACGGTACCGCCGTGGCAGCAGCACTCCCAGACCCCCCTGTGCCCTGGGAATGGCCTGCTGGAAAATCCCAACCGTCCTGTGGAAGAGCTGTGGGGCAGCAACAGCTCCCGGGGGGTCTCCAGCTCTTCCCTGGCTCAGTCCCAAACCAGTTCCCTGTGAGTTCACCTGGGGTTCTGTACCTTTGCTGAGATGTGTCTCCATCAGCCCCGGGGGGCTCAGACCTCCCGTCCATCACCTGCAGCACTGAGGTGCCTGAGACACCCCAGCACCACCCCTGTGTCCCACAGGCAGGGCAACAGGAGGAGATGGCTCTCAGCTCATTCCCAGCTAAAAATCTACTTGTCTCTCTGTGCCTCAGTGCAGAAAAGTCTCGTAGCTTTAAAAAAATACCCACTTTGGCTTTAGTCCTTTTGCCAGCAGAGGTAGTGGAGTCGTGTTGAAGGGTTGATTCATCTCTTTACAGAAAAGGAAGCTCAAGATTATACTGGCCAGGGCTGGGGATGGATTTGAGATGTGGTGGCCTTGAGAAGGAGGAAGAAGCACCTCTCCATGGGGACCTGCTCCATGCCCAGCTCCAAGAGCAGAGGGTTGGTCCTGGACTTGCAGCTCTTTGGAGACCAAATGACTGTAAAACCAACGCCCTGAGAGCTCAGCAGTGCTCAGGACCCTGCAGCCAGGCCAACCTGCCACTGAGCCCGACCACAGCCTGCAGCTGCTCTTGGCGTGGCTCCTGCCAGGGAGAGAAATGCCCATTGATCCAAATGCCCATCGATCCAAGCAGCAACACAGACGCCGTCAGCTGGTGCCAGGGGAGCCCTGGTGGCTTTGGGGCAGGAAATCCATCCTGGGCTCCAGGTGCCAGGTACAGTCAGTGCCAGTGAGGAACATCCCCAGACCTGGCAGATGGCACAGCACAGCCCTGGGTTCCTTCCCAGTCCTCAACAAGCACACAAGGAGGGTCTGCCCCTGTCTCCTGGAGCTGGTGCTTCACGGCTGCCAGGCTGAGCCAGGTCCTGGCAGGCTGTGCCCCCGTTCCCCTGCCAGGGGGCTCAGGGGTTTTGTGTGAAAGCTCCAGCCAGGAACCAGCCAGGACTCGCCTGCAGCTGACACACCAAACCCCCCTGGCCCCTGCAGCTCTGAGCATCCCTCCCACCCCTTCACCTCCCAGGTTTCTGTGTCTGGGCAGTCTCTGGGATTTGCCCCTTTGCCCGTCCCAGTGCCCACAGTGGTTCTGTCCGGTGGCTCAGATGAGCCGGGGCTGCAGCTCACGGCCCCTGGCACCCACAGGGGTGCTGTGCTGGCTCGTGGTGTCCCTGGGGGCAGCAGGGACGTGGCTCTCGGGGGGCTCCTCCCCGTCGCTCTGCTCGTCCCCGGGGCTGCAGCAGCGGGGCCCGGAGCCCTCGGTGTCCGACTGGCCCGCGCTGCAGCTGCGGCTCCGCAGCCCCTCGCTCCCCTCGTCGCAGAACTGAGCCTCGTCCGTGCTGGTCTCGCTGCCCTGTTTGCTCAGGTGGGTCCGTGGCTCCCCAGTGTCCTCCAGCTCCGAGTCGGAGTCCACGGAGCGGTCGCCGGACTCTGCGGGACGGAGGAGCCCCGTCCACGCTCCCGCCCGGCACCGGCACTGGCAGGAGCTTTGTGCAGCCAGCCCGGCGTCCCCGGGGCAGGGGAAGGGGCTGTGTGACCCCTGTGCCTCCCGAGGGACCCGCACCCACCAGGAGCCCCCCGTGCCCTTCACTGACCTGCGAGTGAGTCGGCGCTGAAAGCCAAATTCCCCTTCTCCGAAGGGTCCAGGTAGGGGACAGTGCTGGGGGCAGCCGTGGGCTGGGAGGGAGAGGGATGGTGGTGAGGGCACGGAGGAGAGGAGTTCTCATTCACTTGGCTCCAGAGAACACCATGGAATGTCCCCTCCTGAGATTCCTACCTCCTCTGTGGCGCCTGAGCCGCGCCTGCCGGGCTCGGCCAGCGCCGCCACCTCCTTGTGCTCAAAGATGGTGGGGTAGAAGATGATGAGGGCCTCGATGATACGAGCTTGGTGGGGATAATCCACCAGTGAGGACAAGGAAATCGTGGCGTCCGTGGGCCTGGGACGCATCAGTGTTGGCCCAAAGACGATGCCCAGGTTGCCTGAGGTCATCTTGTTGTCCTGTTCCACTTCCATGATCCTGGGGAGGAGGAGGAGGAACTTGTGATAGCAAGGAGGGAGAAGGGCGGCTGGGCAGGGCTGGGGGAGTGCTGGGCTGGAGCACATGAGCCTCATGAGAGGGAGAGAAGCAGCTGCAGTTGCTTCCCCAGGAAGCTGCACTCACCTCCCCACCCCAGGGAAGAAAGGGAAGGTTCCCAGCACCCACAGGGGCTCTGTCCCTGCCCCTCTCACCTCCTCAGGTGCTGCAGGAGGTACTGGAGCGTGGCCATGTTCTCATAGGGAAGCTCCTTCAGCAGCTCCCTCAGCTTCAGCACCAGGCTCAGCACCACCCGGTCCGTGTCGGCTCCTCTGTCCACCAGCTCGGGGCCGCCCTTCCCGCCCCGGCCCTTGGCCTCCCCGCCCTGCAGGCTCTCCTTGGCCAGCCCCATCAGCTGGTTGTACAGCCGGAAGGGCATCAGGGGCTCCGGCAGCTGCAGAGAGAAGAGGGGAGATGGTCCCAGGAGCTCCCACCTCTGCCAGACCCGGGCCTGTCCTGAGCCGCTGAGCTGGGGACACCTGGGGCCTTTCAGTGAGGAAACATCCCTGAAGTGCCCCCATGGGCAGGAGGTGGAACAAGAGGAGCTTTATCATCCCTTCCATTCCAGGATTCCACGAGTCTGTGACTCCCAGTGCTGCAAACCCTCTACCCCCAGGTGATGTTTATTTATCCATCTCCTGGAGCGTGTCAATCCAGCCTCGTTAGTCCTGGCCAAGGAGCACTTGTGAAGTTCAAGCCAAAAGCAGCCTTTGATCCACCTGTGGCTGCTCCTTGCTGGGTTGAGGTGCAGTGATTCCCTTTTTTTGCCTGGAAAAGCTCTGGGTGGGGTGGGCCCAGCAGCAGGGTTCCCCAGTGGACAGAAGGTGGCTGGGAAGAGGACAGGGATGGGTTGTTTTGGGTGGGAAAGGCAGGATGTGAAGGGCACAGCCTGGGGTGAAGGCGGGGCTGTGGTGGGGGAAACTCTGCTTTGAAGTTTGTGTGAAGCAGCCAGAGCTGGTGTTGACTGCTGGGTGTTCCACATGGCTGGTGATGTTTTCAGGGTGGTTTAAACGGATGTTTTGGGGACAGGCTGCCTCACAGCAGAGGTGGTTCCCTCCAGCCAGCCCTTTACAGAGGGACTTTAACCCATTTGTCTGCAGTGAGGCAGCAGGTCAGGGCTCAGGACCGAGTTACCCCTCTTGTTCCACTCCACTTTTCTTTGGAGAAACCACAGAGGCAAATCAGAACCTTTGCTCCTGGTGTGCAGGAGCCCAGGGACGTGGCTCCCCCCGTGATGTAACACAGAGAAAGGCAGCACAAAAAGAGTTAATCCCTGGCTGCCTGAGAGGGAGAAGCAGCTTCCGCTCCTCCTGCCTCGTGGTGACTGTGGGAGGATGTGGGTGATGCTGTTTGCACCGACAGTTCGGGTGCAGGGAGGGGGTGCCTGGGGCAGGACTGCCATGGGGGACCCGAGGGGCAGAGACCCCCCTGAGCCCGGCCCAGGGCAGCCCCAGGGGCAGAGCCCACCCCAGGGGGCCGTGACTCAGCCTGTGCAGGGTGACCTTTGCTGGGTCCCTTCCCCTTTTGGGGTGCCCAGTTCCCCACTGCAGGGCGGAGGGTTCCTGCTGCAGTTGCTGTTCCCAGCTGTGACTCAGTGTGGGCTGAGCTGGGGGGTCACTGTGGCCCCAGCTCCACAGCCAACCTGATCCTGCTGGGAGGGGCCCCTCTGCACCCACCCCCTGGTTATGGAGTCTGCCTTGTGTGGAATTCCTGCTGCCAGGTTGGTTCCTCTGCCACCTCCCGTCCCTTCCACCACAGCAGGTACCAGCAGCACCTTACCTGTCTCAGGTAGAGCTTCAGGACGTTGCTGATGTCGTGGGGGGAGGCCTGGGACAGCTCCACCAGCTCCTTCCCATTCTCAAAGGCCTGGCAGAGCTTCTCCACGCGGGTCTTGACACCGTTAACTCGATAGATGCCCTGGGAAAGACAGAAAAGTGGAGCTGAGGTGAGGGGAGATGTTCCTCTTCATGTTTGCATGGGACAGTGAGCCATGTGCTCCCACCCTCTCCTTTTGAGGTGGGAAATCCCTCCAGGAAGTCATTCTGGGATATCTCTTTTCCAGCTCAGCCATTCCTGCTTCACAGGAGAGCAGGAGGCAGGAAAGCTGAGTTTCCACGGGCAGAGTTTGGGGTATTTGGGCCAAGTTCATCCCTGGGATGAACTCCCTGGCTCCCTGCCCTGCAGAAGTCTGAAACTGAGCCCGTTGGTTTTCCAGGGGATCCTTCCAAGGGCTGAGCCAGCTGAGGAGGAGGAGGAGAGAGGAGAGTGTGACTCACCTTGGTTTTCAGAGCCCGCTTCTCGATCTCCAAAATGCACTTCTTGACGATGAAGGGGATCCCGTCCGGGCTGCCCCGAGATGCCTCTGTGAAGTCCTGCCCAAAGAGCTGCAGCTTCCCTTGGAGCTTCTTGTGCCCACACTGGATGGCCAAGGTCTCCAGGCACTTCTTGTGGCAGGCCAGGTAGCACTAGGAGAGAGAGGGGAAGACATGGAGGTGGGAGAGCAGCTACAGAGAAACACCAGGCATTGCTCAGAGCATGGTGGGAGCCAGGAAAAATGCTTTGGAGACACTGCAGGACCAATGGAAAGCACCTGGAACCCTCCCCAGAGGAGGATGGCCTCCTGAACATGGTCAGAGCTGGGCTCAGGTGGGTTCCACCCCCAGCTCTCTTCCCACTTCTCCCAGCTCACCTCCTCACACTCAGCTCCCTGGAAGTACACGTAGCTGTTGCACTCCCGACACTTGGAAGGGGCACGGAGCTTCCTCAGCCGGTGGGTCTGGGCAGCCTTGGACAAGCCAACATTCCGGAAGGGCCCCGTGGGAGCTGCCAGCTCTGGGCTGATCCCATTGATGCCTGTGGGCAGAGCAAAAGGAAATGTGAGGTCAGGCACCGCTTGAGCAGGGCGGTCACTGTCCCTGGTCTGAGCAGGGCTCATCCCTTGGGAAAGGCAGTGCTACCAGGAACACCATCAGGAATCCCCAGCAACTGGTGGGTTTGCCTCTGAACTACTGGATTTGGGAAAAGTGGCCCTCAGGGGGTCCTTCTGGAGGGGTGGTGCAGCAGCAGCACTGTCACCTCCCACACTGTCACCTACTCTGCTCAAAGGGGGTGGTGGTCTCGTCCTTCTCCTCCAGCTCCTCACTGGAGGACACGGTGCCGTTGGACGAGAGCCGCTGGAGCTTGTGGCTGAATTCACCTGTCCAAGGAAAACCCACAAACTGGCGAATCAGTGGCAAAGCTGCTTCTCCTCTGAAAACTCATCCCACCCCATCCCATCAGAGACTGGGATCAGCACAGCCATTCACCAACAGGTAAACAAGGGTTGGTCCAGCCTAACTGGAGTGCTCTGGGTTTAGACTGGCTGTACTGGGAGGGGCTCCTGAGCTGTTCCCGTATCTACCTGCACTGGAATCCAGGCTGCTTTCAGCATCAGCAACAGTGGTTGGCCAGGATTTATGGACCTGGTGTCCCCTCCCACCTGCAGAGAGAACACATGTCCATTGGGATCGCTGTCTGTGTTCGGGAGGGAACAGTGGGAGAACAGTGTGGATGCTGGGAGAAACTGGGATGTCTGGGGGAAGCTGCTGGTGAAGGGGCTGGTGGGGTTTGGTGCCTCCAGTGACACCCAGCAAGGAAAAGGGGATGGGCAGATGGATGATGGTCTCTTAGGGAGCGAAGCACCACAGATCTGGTTTAGTGTCCTTCAGGGAATTCCGCCTGGGAGGCTCCCGGCCCGTCCTGCTGCTCCAGGCTCACCTCTCCGCTCGGCCGCCTCGGCCCCGCTCGGAGGCTCCTTGGCTCCTGCCCCCCCTTCAGAGCCAGCCCCGGCCCCCTCGGCACTCGTGGGGAACTCGCTGGCGTTGAAGCTGCCCTTCCGTGTCCGAGAAAAGGGGGACCTGGAGGGGAAAAGGGAACGTGGATGGGAAGGAAGGAAGGAAGGACACTCGGAAACCTTATCCACAGCTGCTCTCCACCAGTCTTGGGATGCAGAGTTCTCTCTTAAGTACTCGACAGCCCGTCTCATCCACTGAAGGACGTGAGGGGAATTCCGAGCTGGTCCAACTCCAGCATCCCCAGCAGGAGCTGCCTTCAGGAATGCTGAAAGCACCCTGGCTCCTGCAGGAGCGCGTGGGCAGCCACAGGAGCGGGAGATGGTGCGGGGGACGCAGCCGAGCTGGAGCATTGCCCGGGGATGGCTCCCCTGTCCCCCCTCACCAGGCGTTGTGGGACACGTAGGGCTCGAAGTCGTACTGCACGTCGGGCTCGTCCCCGCGCTGCAGCTGCCGCACGTGGGACGCGTACTGCTGGCCCGGGTCGTACAGCTTGCTGCTCTCACACAGCGTCTGGAAGTTCACGGGCAGCGGCGCCGTCTGCATGTGCATGGTCTGGTAGAAGGAGATGGTGGCCTAAAAGAGACGTGGAGAGAGACCGGCGTGAGCCTTGTGAGCTGAGGTACAGGAGGAGAGGGAAAAGACGCTCCAGGTCAGGTGGGCAATCAGGAGCAGAGGAACCAGGGGCTCCAGGTCAGGTGGGCAATCAGGAGCACGGAGCAGCACTTGTTCTGCAGTTTTGAGCCTCGGTTTTTCTGAGCATGAGGGAGAGCAGAGCTCTGCACCCACCTGGGCCCCTGGTGGCTCTGCTGGGAGGCCACTCCGAACCCTCTGGAGCAGAGCACATCCACCTCCCGCCCTGGGGACACCCCAGTCCAGCCCCACTCACCGACTTGATGACCTGGTCGCTCTGTTTGATCACCTCGTGGATCTGCCGCAGGGAGTTCACCTTGGTGTCCTCCAGCTCCTGCTTCTGCGTGTTGGCATCGGCCACGCAAGTGCGATACGTGGCCATGGCCTCCTCTGCCTGGAGTCGGGAGAGGGAGAGATGAGGACAGCTCAGAGGTGAGGAGAACACAGAGAACAGCCCCTCGGACCATGTTCCTCCAGGCACTCCCATGCCATGCTCAAGGATCCAGGGGAGCTCGGGTCACTCCACGTGGCTCAGGGCGGCTCCTGTGCAGGGACAGCAGGAGCAAGGAGGCGCCTCCAGAGCTGTCACCTTCTTACCTTGTTCTTGGCTTCCTCTTCCAGCCGCCTCTTCTTGTCCAGGGTTTTGGTGGTGATGCTGCTGGTCGTGTTCTGCTGCTCCTCCTCTGCTTTCACCGCCACGTACTTGGCCTTGTCGTGCTCCTCGCTGCGCTGCATGTACGTCTGCTTGGCCTTGCGCAGGTTCCCCTCGGCCTCTTGCTGCCAGGGTGAGCCATGACCCAGGTGAGGACAGAACCCAGCCAGGGAGTCACCAGCTCCCGTGGGCTCCCCAGGGTCCCCCAGCACAGCAGAGGCACCCAAGCACCTGACACTGCCAGAGAGGGGCAGGGGGTCCAGCATCCTTAGAGGGGCACGGGGTGCTCCAGGCTGCGACACAAACCCAGTCACTCACCAGTTTCCTCTGTGCCCGGTGCCACTGCTCCTTGATCTCCTTCCTCCGCTTCTCGTGCTCGAGGCGTCTCACCATCAGCGGCTGGATTGGGAGGAACAGCCCCGTGATGCCCTGAGCTGAGTGCTCTGCTCTGCCCTTGCTTTGCAAGGAGAAGTGCCCTGCACTGGTCACTGTTGCTGCCAGCACGGCCAGGTCACAGACACTGTTTTGTGCCAGGGATGAAAATCTGCAGCCTGGGGAGTGCCAGACGCAGGTTCCCTCTGGACTGAGCTAAGGAAGAGCCACCTCTGCAATGCCAGGACCACCAGCCCCAGGAGGACCCTTCGACCCCTCACCTGGAGGAAGGTTTGGTGCTGCAGGGTGTTGGCTGCCTGCAGAACCGACGTCCCATGCTCCATGTCCTGCTCCAGGGCCAGCAGGTAGATGGACAGGAAAGGCATGTTGGTCTGGGAAATGGGAAAACACACCGCCCTGAGCCCCAGCACCTGCCCAAGGAGTCACGTCCTTTGGGGAGGAAGAGTCAGAGGTGTGGTGGGGCTGCTGGCTGCTGGTAAAAGCCTCATCCTGAATTTTTCCAGGCAGAGCTCTGGAGAGCTGCCTGCATGTTCTCCTGGGCTCTGGGGCATGTGGGATGGGCTCCTCAGGGCTGCTGACTCTCAGTCCAGCCCAGCTCTGGGGGCTTTAGGGACATGGGGACTTACCTCCTGGCTCATGGTTTGCTTGCAGCTGTTTGCCATTTTCTGGAGCCCTTTAGCAAACTCCATCTCTGGAAGAAAAAGTTTGGAAGTGAAAAGGCACACGAGACACTGGGAATTCCCTGGAGGAACCCAATCTTCTTTTGAAAGATAAATCAGGAACTTGAAGAGTGAAGTTCCCACTTCCCTGGCAGTGTTGGTCTCCCCGCAGACTCTTGTAGGGACCTCGACCTGCCCCGGGGCTCAGCCCTGCTCCAGAGGGACCCACCCGCCATCCCCCTGCTCACCCAGCGTGGTCCTTTTCTCCAGGTATGAGATCAGGTCCTTCATGTACTTGGAGATGGTTTTGGCGTACTGGAGTGCAGCATCCACCCCCCCCTCGCAGCGCTGCAGCATCACGTCCACTTCCTCGGCCGCAGGACGGGCTGCAGTGGGAGACTCCGTGAGCTTCCAGTGCAAACCTCCCCATCTCCGAGCCCGCTCCGTGCTGTGCCGGTCCTGCCGACCCCGGTGCCACAGCTCTGCTGCCCTTTCCCAGCCGAGGAGCCAAGTGTGGCTCAGGATCACAGCGATGACAGGGAAGGCGCCTGTTCCTGCTCAGCCAGGCACCCCCACCCCAAACCCTGCACCCACCCTCGTCCTGCTTACCCGCGTTGTAGCTCTCCACGCCCACAGGCACACTGTCTCCTCCAGGCCCAGGGATCCCCCCGCAGAGGCTATCCATACTCTTTGAGGATTTGGAAAGAAAAGGGGCTGGTCAGCCACGCAGATGGAGGGGAGGCTGGAACCTGGAGCTGCCGGAGCCTTTCAGCTGTTGCTGGAAGTTGGCTGTGCCCAGGCTGTGCCCGGGAGCTCATGGGAATGTCTCTGGAGAAACACCCTGCTCTGGGCTCCCATCAGAGCTGGGGGAGCAGCCAGAGCCCCATGGCTCACCTGGTTCTGGTCGCTGGGTGGGATGGAGAGGAGGGTGCTGCTGTCCACCTCCCCCATGAGGAACTCGGACACCCTGTGGGGAGAGGAGCACAGCACAGGGACAGTGACACGGGCTGTCACCCAGCAGCACCCACGGACTGGCTGTGGAGGCAGCTGCCCAAAATCCCTTACGTGCTGCTGAAGGACACAGCAATGGTCTCCACGGCCTTCTCGAACTCCCGCTTGTCCGCCTCGTTGTTGGATTCATAGTGGAACCCTGAAGAGGAAATGTGGGAGCCCTGTCACTGTGTGCCTGTCCCTCTCTCAGCAGGAGAAGGACCTGCTGGCTCACGGTGGTATCAGGGGAGCTGTGGGGCTGGGGCAAGTTGAGGGAGCAGTGGGGAGGATCATCCCAATGGATGATGGATTCCTCCAACACAGCATCCCCCCGCTTTCTCCCAGGACTGACTTCCCTGCCAGCATCCCTTGGCTCATGTTTCTGTTTATTCCCGTTACTCAGGGCTGCTGGAAAAGCACTGCTGGACCTGTTCCACTGCCTTCCCTGCCTCATGGCTCCTCCAGACCCTGCTCTGAGCAGGATGGACTCCTCCAGGAGGGCTCTTGGCCAAAAGAGGAACCGCCGGTGGCAGAGGGAGCCGGCGCAGACAGTGCTCAGCAGACACCCACGGCACGGGTAAGCAGCAGCCAGGGAGGGCTCCTGGGCAGCCCCTGGGTCTGCTCCTCGGGGGAACTGAGCCCCCCGTTGCAGTGAGGGGCTGGGGTCTGCCCCCAGTGCACTCCCTCCCGTCCCCACGTGGGGCCAGCCCCCAGCAGCCCTCTCACCACCCGTGAGCCTTCCTGTCCCCTGCGGTTGCTGTTGGGTGTCCAGGAAGCGGCGGCTGACGCAGGAGGTGGTGCTGTGGTCGGTGCAGTCACCCCCTCCCCGTGGATGACAGCAGAGGGAGGTGGTGCCCAGCCAGGGCCTGGCCTCCCAGACCCCGCTCTGTAAACACGAGGGGCTGCCAGGAGCAGGATCTAATTATTTCAGTGTTTTTTCCTGTGGCCGTGCCTGGAAACCCCCAGGCAGGATCTGTCATTTCTGACACTATATCGTCCTTAAAGCTGGACCACAGCAAGAAGCAGCTGATGCTTTTGCCTTCTCTGCCAGCCCATGGGGCAGCTCCGCTCCTGGCAAACCCCCCCATGGGCTCCCCAGCCCTGCACCCTGACATGGGGCAAGAGGAGAGTGGGACAGAGCTCCCAGCCCCTGTCTCACCCTTGACTTTGGAGATGAGAGTCCCAGCAGCTGTCAGGGTCTCCAGGGTGTTGAGCAGTGGGTACTTGTTGATGACCTGGCGCAGGATGCGCAGGGTTTCGCCCAAGCACTCGTGGGCCAGCGGCCGCTGGGGCTCCTTGGGGTCTGCAAGAGAGGGGGCTGAGCCCTGTGTCCCTGCCCCGTGTCCCTGCCCCGTGTCCCTGCCCTGCATCCCTGTCCTGTGATCCTGTCCCACGTCCTTGTCCCGTTTACCTCCCAGCCACATGCCAGGCAGGGTTCTGCCATCTCCCAGACCATGCAGCCCCTCCCCTTGGCCTTGGGGCTTCCCAGGCCAGGCATGGCCTGTCCAGCACCTCCCCACAGCCGTGGCCGTGTGTCTCCTGCCCAGCCCGGTGGTGGCCGGGGGGGAAGCCCAACCTTTGAGGCGTTTCTTCCGCAGTAGTAACTTTTTCCCTTGAAAGCAGTTTGGGAATTTCCTCCTCGTTTCCTTCCCTCCCTCCTCCCAGATGGACGCTCCCAGATGGGAGGGATGTGGCAGGTCTGTCCTGCCATCATGCCAGCCTGGCTCACTGCATCCCACAGGTCCTTCCCCAGGACTGTCCCCTCCCTCCGTGGGCTCCAGCTGCCAGCCTGAGGGTCTGGCCTGGTCAGCACGGGACAGGGCTGGGCACTGGCAGCCTGGTTAGGAGGTGAGGAGCCTTGCGCAGGGAGGTGCTGGGATGGGGGACTGGCACTCACTGCCCAGCCAGGCAAAGCCCCTGCCCAACCCAGCCCCCAGCTCGGGGTCTGGAAGGGGTTTCTGCAAAACCAGGGCTGAGAACAGTGTCATGTGCCCCCTACGCCATGGGATCGATGCATCTCCTGTGCCCCCTTGGGCAGAGACAGGCGCTCGTGGGCCCGCAGACCACCCAGCCCCATCCTGACGGCCACCCTGGTGGGCTGGGGGCTCGGGGAGCCATGCCCAGCACCCTGCAGGGCTCAGGGGGCCCTGGCAGGCGGCTGGCACCGCTGCACTGTAAACAGGAAAACGGGCGGATGAAAATAGCTCGCGGCAGGAAGCCGCGTTATCCTGGCCCTGAGCTCCGGCAGCCACTCACCCACCACCCACCCACCACCTCTGCCCGCAGCTTCACGGCCCCCTGCGGGTCCTGCTGGCCTCTGGCCCAAGCAGAGAACCCCCACCCACGGGGGGATCTGTCCCTGGGGTGCCCTGCAGTGCTGTGACACGGGTGTTTGGCACTGGGTGGGCACCCAGGCCGGCAGGAGCCGCGGCCGTGCCCAACTCACCATCGCGCAGCACCACGTCCCGCAGCTTCTCCAGGGCGTCGGCGAAGCGGGCGACGTCCGCCAGCAGCTGGGAGATGTCCTCAGGGTCGATGAAGGGACCCTCCCCGCCCTCCATGGGGCTGTAGGACGTGGGGGTCTTGTGTCCCTTGGCCATGGCGCGGGGGGCCGCGGGCAGGGGGAAGCTGGCGGCACTGGCATGGCGGCTGAGGCTGGTGGGGCGCTTCAGGGTGCCCACGGTGCTGGGGCTGGTGCTGAGCTTGGCGCTGGCCGCGGGCAGGTCCCCCAGGCTGGAGCCTGGTGCCTCCAGGCAATCCTTGCGGGAGAGGTCCTGGGGAGCGGGGATGAGTGTGAGGGCACAGCCAGCATGGTGGGGACCGTGCTTGGGCAGGGAGAGGGCAGCACCCCAGGACTCGCCACACCACCAGCTTGGGGGATGGGGTGGTGTCTTGAGGGGCTGGTGCCAGACCCTGCAGCTGCACCATGCCTCAGTTTCCCCAGTCAGGCATCCCCTTTGGGGACCTTGGAGACAGTCTTGGGACCCCACAGGGCAAAGACAGAGCAGGGAGGGTCTGGGCCAGGCCTGGGCAGGGTCTGGGCACTTGCCTGGCCATCCCTCACCAGTCCCTCTGGCTCTGTGTTCGTCATGGGGGCACACAGTGATCATGTGGGTGACACTGCTTGTCCACCCCAGCACCCACCATCCTGGGACTGCCCATCCCAGTGGACTGGGGACCTCAGCACAGCCAAACAGCAGCAGGATCCAGCCCACACGTCCCTTCCTCTTTTTCAGCTGGTCCCATGCTGGGGGAGGGGGCAGGGACAGGGACACCTCCCAGGCCACTGTTGGGGGTTTGGCAAGTATTTTACAGATGGAGGAAGCCCCCAGTTTCCAGGGGCAATATTGCCCCGAGGGAGGGGTTGGTACCAGCACTGTCCAGGACCATGCATGGCTTGGGGATCATGCACCCAGCAAGGGTCTGTGAGCACGGGAGGGGACCCTGCAGCCCCCAGCCCACTCAGCAGCTCCCAATCAGGGACCCCCAGGCACCCAGGTGTGACACGAGCGTGTGGGGTCTCAGCATCCCGGGCCGGGCGCTGCCGGAAGCGTCTTTGGCAGACACGGAGTGCCGAGAGCACGAGGCTTCCGTGGGCGAGGGCAGAGGGGAGCTCAGCCCCACGGGGGGGCCAGACCACCACGGGGCTGCAAGGGCACCCAAAGGGCCCCACCCCAAAACGCCCGGGGCCAGCCCGGCCCTGTCTCCGTTCCCCCCGGGGTGCAGCGGCCCCGGTACCCCCCGGCCCTCCCCCCGGCGCCCCGGGGTGCCCCGGCCGTACCGTCAGTCGCACGGCGGGCGCGCAGGGCAGCGAGTCCAGGGAGCGCTGGGGCGGGTGGGCTCTGCCCGCCGCCGCCCAGGGGCTGTAGCTGTTCCTGCCCGCGGCCCGGCCGAGCATCCCGCCGGCCGCCACCCATAGGCCCCTCTCCGGGGGGTCGGGACGGGGACGGGGGCGGGTGCCCCCCGCTAAGGAGCCGCGGGTGGGCTCCGGAGCCCCGACGGCCGCATCGTGCCAGCCCCGTCTCGCCCCACGCACCCGGGCTGGGGCGCAGGCGCGGGGCGGGCGGTGTGGGGTGCCACGGGGAGCCCCGGCCGCCGTCCGGCCCCACGGAGGTGAGGCGCTTCCTCCCGGCTCCTCCGGCACCGGGGGGTCCGCACGTCAACAAATAAATACATGGCAGAGCTGAGCTGCCTGAGCCCAGTGTCCCCATGGAGGCTTGGGAATCTCTCTGTCCTCCCCAAACCCTCGGACACAGCCCCGCATTTCCTCCCTGTCCCTTCCAACCCTTCCGCCTCCCTCGGCGGCTGCTCTGTCCCCCTCATCTGGGGCAAAATGTCCCCCCAGCCCAGTGAGCTGGGTCCTTCCTCGTCTTCTTTCTCCTCGCAG